GTTTGATAATATTTGGCAACGATCTGCTACTTGGAGGCCTAGCTTCTTCCAGTGGGTGCATTCCCTGAGCACAGGAGCAATTTGTTCTGATGTCCAACAGGGGTTGGGGACCCCAGAATAACAATTTTCTCATTACTGGTGGCCAGTGCGGGCTAAGTGTGCAGGGAGGTGGGCTGTCTGTGTCTGGCGATGCCTTCATAGGGCCTGGGGCCAATGTGAAGATGTGAGAAATTGGTATATGGCGTGTTTGAGCCAGAATCTCGAATCATTCGCCAGCTCTGCATTGCGAACACAACGAATTCCAAAACAGCTGATTCGATCTGTGAAGTCTGGAGGCACTCCCTTAAAAAAAATATTCTGCGGTAGGCAGAGGTTCGTCTGGATTATTATTCCATGGTACCCCCCTGGTCTAGTTTCTCCATAGTCAAAATAAATTATTCCAGGTCAATATTTTTAAATTATTCCCAGAAAATTATTCCTGGGGGTTACCCGGACCATGGAATAATTATTTAAGGGACAGGCCATGTAACAATAGAACGGATGGAAGTGACTTGTGACAAATCCACAACTCGATCCCGCAATCTTGAACTATGCAAGGGCCTGAAAACATAGGAACTGGCTGCATCTCTTTTCAAAACATATGACATGTGTGTGAGGTGAAACGCAATGCATTTGCACAAAGCCACAAAGCCATCTTACAAGCTGGCGATGCTTCAAGCATTGGGCGTGATGGCTCTCTCCGGGCATCCATCCGATACCACAACTACAAACAACTGGTGGCAAAATTGCCTACAAATGCAAGCATGGTTTCACAGAATCCATTTCAGGCATTAGCTTGGCGGTTTCCACCTCCCTCGACACCTCACATTTCTCAAGCACCTTTTCAATCAAGGCCATCAAATAGATCTGATTTTGCTTCAATATGGCCACATCCACGCCAGAGGCAACTCCCTGGAGTTGAGACACACCAAACACCAGTTCATCTATGCTGATTGAGTCACTATTGTCACTATCAATTAGGTTGAAGATCGTGTCTGGATCCCTGATCGGAAGGCCCTGCGCGCCGAACCAATGACGTGCATCATCCCGTTCCATGACCTTGTTCCATTCAGATCGGGTAATGGGCGTCTCCCGCGAGTGATCTGTGTATTGAAAAAAGGCGGTCATTTTGTTGGAATGGACCTTCTCTCGCCTCGCCACATCTCGCATCATGATGATATCATCCGTTTGTGCCACCTTCATGGTTTCTTGCATAAAAACTCCTCGGCTTTTGAGTCGCCAAGAGGGAAAACACATTATAACATATTATAAAGCAAACGGTTTCAAAAGCAAGGATCCTATGAAATGCACACTGAAGTTGCTTTGATTGCCCGATTTAGGCATCAATGACAGGTGAAACTTATGTGAACATCAACCCTGCTTAATTACAGGTTTGCCTTTTTGGCGATGAACACAGAAGCCTAGAAAAAATCAGGTGAAGCCGGTGAAGCCTAGAAATCCTGAACAGTTGACCTGCGAAAGCGAGGATTCTTGAATGGTGTTTGAGAGCCCAATGAAACAACCTTATCCGCCATTGACCTGGGGAAGGCCAGCGCAGCGCGACCAGAATGGCTCTTACAAGCCGAGCGGTGGCACGCGGGCGCTGGTGTCTACCACCACACAACAAAAACCGCACTCAACTGGTGTTCCGTGGCACTCAACGGGTGTTTTGCGCCAGCTCAGTAAAGCACCACCTGTCTGATTCTGTCTGGAAGAAACGCTCTCTTCGGGCAGAACGAGCTGGCTCAGAGTTGGGATGTTTATCAAAGATTTGGTTGTTTGCAGAACTTGAGCCATGCCCTTCCCGGCGTTTTTGCACGAGAAGCCCCGAAGCCATTAAGCCAAATGGCAAAACTATAATAATGGTAGGCAAATAAATACACAATAATACACACACATACATAGAGAGGGAGAGGGAGAGGGAGAGGGAGAGAGAGAGAGAGTATCGATTTGGCAATCTAGCACGCTCTCGAGTAGTCTGGAAAAATGCGAGGGGGAGTCAGGACCGTGTCTCGGCTCTAGGATGTGTTCCGAGAGCGATGCACCAGGACCATAGTGATCCATAGTGCTCTTCCAGAAGGAGAGCCATGGGTGGGTGGATGGGTGGGTGGGAGGGTGCCAGGCCACTGCACAAATACACCCTTGGTGTCTCTCTCTCTCTCTCTCATGTGTCTGCGTGGGTGTGGGATGGTGTGGGGCTTGGCTCTACTGATGGGTTTCATGTCTGCCGTCTATGAGCTTCACGCCACTTGCGTCCTTAACTTATACTGAGAGCATCTGAAAGCACATTTCATCCATGCTGTCCTAATGTAAGAGATCAAAACTGATCTGAAAAGAACAAAGCTGCCCACTCAGAAACCAAGACTCCGTTGATCACACCAACAGCTGCAAATCCAAAGGTCCCTTTGAAAAGGATTGTCAGCAAATTAAAGGCAGGTGTGATGAGTTCCTGCAAGTCCCTTGCTACAGTGACCCAGGTCCCAAGCGTCATCTGAAACATCGTCAGCATGCTCCGCGGAAACGTGCCAAAATATTCGAAGATCTTCAACTCGACTTCAGTGTCCCCGCTCGGAGACTCATCGTCTGCCCGCGCGAAAGCAATGGCTAACTGGCCCAATAGCAGTGCCAGCATGACTTCCACCACCAACATGATGATCGACGCCCAAAAAAGGGCTCCCATGCTGTGCTTCAATGCCGTAGTCATGATGATCAGAGAGTCAAAGTTCTTAATTGTTCTCAAAGGCTTTACCAATCGCAGCAGCCTGATGAGCCGCAACAACCGCAAGGACGGGCTTTGCATCGGCATTAAAGCCACCGCCATCTCAAGGCACCAAAGTAAGACCAGGGAGAGGTCGAAGAAGTTCCAAAAGGATTTGAAGTATCTTCGGCCCAACCCCCACACCTTCACCACGACCTCAACAGCAAACAAGCAGCCAAAGGTTAAATCGCAAATCTCCAGTATCTCAGGCAAAGGTGGCCAAATTGCATCGGCTCCTCTGGTATAACCATCATAGTTCAATTGGTAGCCCCACTCCAAGCCTTGCAACTGCACTTCGATTGCCATGCCTCAACCCGCACCGGCAGGATTCACCCTAACCCCCACATTCTCACGTCAATGACGAACATCTAAGTAGCTAATTTGTTTCTGTCCCATGGGGGTTGTGCGAAGACAATGGGCATCGCATACTATGGACCTGGGCAAGAAACAAGCATATTTGTGCACTCATATCGTGTGAATCTGTTTGTTTCATAGTGGACCTAAAAACCTTAGCCCAAACTCGGAAGGTGCTACCTTGCTCCATGGGGTCCGCAATGCATCCCCACACCCTGGCAAACAGGCAAACACAATATGTTTGTTCTGCGGCAGGTCTTTCTCTCGGACCTTGAGCCTTGCGTAATTGGAACACAGTTGGGTTCCTACGATTCCCATGCCAGTTGATCAGTCCGTGAATGGCTGAGAAGTAAACGAAGATGTTTCTACCCCCACGGGTGAACCAATGCACTGCGCCTGTCGGCAAAACATTGGTAAAGTTCGATCCAGGTTCCTGCAGCTGAGGTGCCGCACGCTTGCAGCAGAATCAGCACGGCATAAAAAATTTCAAACCAAATGTTGCGAACCAGCTGACGTGGATGCCACCACCTCTCTTGCATGCCTGAGCTGCTCCAAAAGATTCAGCCGAACACACAAACACAATCGCGATGAAGACTGCCAACCGGTCTGGCCTGCAAACACGCCCGGAAACCCTGGCACAGCACGGCACAGTTCCAAACTTTTTAGCTAACCCTGAACGACCAAGCGTAGTGCACACCTCTACACGCGGTGTAGTGAACTATATGTTCTACACAATTTGGGGCGTCACCAAGTCTCATCCGACAAGAGAAATGTGTTCAACTGGACATTGTAAAGTTGTGTGTGTTTCGACGCCCGTATCCCACCCGGTAGATCCATCTGGGCTGTGAGGGGTACCAGGTACCCCCACTGGTTTGGCCGCATCCTTGTGCTCGAGGTGCATACATGCATGTATACGGACCTACCTATCTAGATGCATACATCCATATTTACTTGCAAACTACTTCCTTGCTTCCTTGCTTCCTTCCTTCCTTCCTTGCTTGCTTGCTTGCCTGCCTGCCTGCTTGCTTGTTTGTTCTTTTACTCAATTTTTTATGCACATTTTTACGTACGTACTTATTTACTATCGTAGTTACAATAAAACATGCGTACACAACACAACACACACATACATATTGCATTGCATTGCATTGCGTTGCGTTGCGTGCATTACACTACGTTTGCATTAAGCTGCGCTACACTACACACACACATACATACACACATACATACAATCATTCATTCATTCATTCACTCACTCAGTCATTCATTCATTCATTCATTCATTCATTCAGAGAGCATTCATTAATGGCCTTTGATGAGTGCGCGACATTACTGCTCCAGCAGGTGGGCGGATCCACTGACCAATTCGGTCATGTTCCGCAAGGCGCCACTGAAGGCAACTGCATGGAAGCAAAACAGACTGCGACTCAACTCAGCGACAAGCTGAACAAAATATCGGGATTCAGCGTGGACTCAACCAACTAGACTACTTGAAACTATAAACCTGGACCTCGACCAAAACCGGTCAACAATCCAGTTTCAACGAACACCTTCCTCTTCTTGAACCTGCAATTGATTAAGAATCACAAGTATTTTTGTCGGAACTTTTGCTCACTCCTATGCTTTGAGGTGCGGGAGTGAGGAAAAGGCCAGCCACCTTCGAAGGATGCGGAGTGTTGCGCATGTCCATTCGGAGGACTCCAAGATCCAGGGTCCAGACTTTGAGGGCCGTCAGGCTGTTTCAAGCTTTGCGGTGTTTTACAGTTTGGTTGTGCAACCTTTTTAATGAGCCATCCATTTTTTGTGGTCCTCCCCACTATACTAGCTTGCAGGTGTCACATCGCTAGCACTAGAGCGCGCGCCAACCCGAACCACAAGGCCTCAAAGCATGTACCAAATGGAACAGTGGCGTCGCGCACTCATCAAAGGCCAAATGAATGCTCTTCTTGGGTTGGAGGCGTCCATGAAAGCAAATTGGTGCAAGGATGCGCAGAAAATGCTCCGTGCGTCGCGCGGGCCAGATCATCCATGACTCAGCGAGGGGACACCTGCAAGCTAGTATATAGTGGGGAGGGCCACAAAAGATTTAAAAGAGGGTTGAACCACCAAACCGTAAAATTTGAGGGCCCCCAAAGTCTGGACCCTGGGTCTTTGAGTCCTTTGAGTGGACATCCACAACACTCCGCATCCTTCGAAGGTGGCTGCCCTTTTCCTCACTTCCGCGCAGGTGTTTTCTCGAAGTCTAGAGCTAGTGATGGGACACCTGCTCGCCACTGTACATGTAGCGGTTCTTCGCAGACGCTAGCAAGCAGCAACCCTCAGGCCGGCCGGCGCTGCAGCATCTTGCGCCCGTCGATCCCTGCCACGACGATGTCGCGCTGCGCCACATCGTCCTTCTCCTCACAGCTACGCATAGCTACGCTGTCGCGACTACTGAATCTTTGCTGGCTCCTGAAGTCTTTTGCGCGGTGGTAGGTGGTTCCGACAAATTGCATTCTATTGAATTAGGTGCCTTGACTGTTGGACCCTAGCCATGGTAGAACCTCACTACTGGACTTCCCATGACTGGCTGACAATCAATATAAAGAAGGTTGAGAGATAAAGAAGCAGACCTACGCCAAACACCAAGTACAAGCGGCCTTGTGCGCCCAAGGACACCATCCAACACTCCCAACCTTTGATCGAATTTCGCGAAGGTCTTCGGACGCAACCGCCTGTCGTGGCCGCAAGGCCACCCGAGCAGTGAAATTATCTATAGCGCTAGTTCAACTCAGGGCAGGACTGCTGTCTAATCAAAAACTCAACTTTGCATTCCCCCAGCAAGTGCCCCACTCCCACGCAAACCTTGGGCCTTGAACAAATGGACCCGGTTTCCTTAAGCCTTGACAGCTTGCACCACGACCATTGTACAGAAGGGGCAGCATCACCAGCTGCAGAAGGACTGTCGGCCACGGCGGAGAGCACTGACAGCAGCCTCATTGAAACAGGAAACCTGGCTCAACCTTCGAAAGGTTGGACCCTCAAGAAGGCCGAAGTTGAACTCCGTGCAAACTTAGACTTGAGGCCAGGGGGGGTGAACGAAAGCCAGCCGGGCGCGGAAGCGTGCGAATGCTAGGGTGTGGCCGCGCAGACCACCAAGCAACAGACCACCAACCAGCAGCAGCAGACCACGACAGCAGCAGCAGATCACCAAGCAGCTGCAGAAGACCACCAAGCAGCAGCAGCAGCAGCAGCGGACCATCCTGCAGCAGCAGCAGCAGCAGCAGCAACAGACCACCAAGCAGCAGCAGCAGCAGCAGACAGCACAGCAAGCAACTGCAGGAGACCACCAAGCAACAGGAGAGACCACCCAGCAGCAGCAATAGCAGCAAAACCAAGATTTTGATGCTAGACATGACACGCTGCCTCCAAATCAGTTCAACACGAGTTCTAAAAGTGGTTTGCGCCACTTTCGCGTCGGTTTCTATTCTACATGGCCAACTCAAAAAAAGAGAAGCAGCAGCAGCAGAAGAGCACCAAGCAGCAGCAGACCGCCCAGCAGCTGCAGCAGACCACCCAGTAGCTGCAGCAGACCACCAACCAGCAGCAGCAGCAAACAAGTTGTTCATGCTGGACATGACGCGCTGCCTCCAAATCGGTTCAATACGAGTGCTAAACTTAGCGCTCGTTTTGCACGCCTTCGCGTTGGTTTTTCTTCTACATGGCCAACTCAAAAAAGAAGCAGCAGCAGCAGCAGCAGCAGAGCACCAAGCAGCAGCAGCAGCAGATGCCCACCCGCTCGCCGCGCGCAGGGGGGAGTTGAACCTCCGGAGGGGGGGTCCATAAGATTGATTTAGTAAATTCTTTCGGGTTTTTGAGGTGCCTTGCGCCTTGCTAAAGCAAGAGCTGAAGAGCTGAGGCTAGCTTTCGTGATCAGAGATTGGGTTTGAACCACCAAGGCCTTGCGCTGTCCTTTTGAAACAAAAGAAAGTGAGCTAAAGCTTTTGGCTATTGGAAAAACTTTGAGGCTGCAGGTTGGCCACGCAGATTTCAGAAGGGATTTGTTTCGAGGGTTGGACTAGGAAGTCGGCTGCCTGGTGAAAAATCATCTTCTCATGCTTCCCAGGATTCAATCCCCTGATGAATCACTGCTCAACCCGCTCCAAGCACGCAGGAGCAAGGAACTTAACCCTGAAAGATCTTGAACGTTTTGGACCTCTAGATGTGACACCCCCTGTTTTTGGAAGCCACTTTTCAGTTTCCATGATGTTTCCCAGCGGAGGGCCATCAACTTCAGACTTAGACCGCCAAAGTTGTGTTTATGGCACCCGCCACGCGCTGCCTCCACCAAGCACACACCTGCCCCACCAGGCAAGGCCTGCAGGAGTGGAAGCGAAAAAGGCTGGAGAGGGTAGAACCTTGGATGGGAAGGGTCCGCCTGTCACCCTCCAACGCGCAACGCCCGGATTCGAAACCCCGGCCTCGGCAAGCTTCTTTTCATTCCAGGAAATTCCAGCATAGTGTTTGTTGCGAGGTGTTTTGTTCTACGTGTCCGGCTAGGTTCTGGCCAGGTCAGTACATTAGGCATCCGACAAGATCTAGCAGCGCATACTAAAGTAGTCACAGGATGGTCTGGGGATATTGGAAGCCTGCAAAGCCGATGGGGGCCGATCCGTCTGTACCCTTTCGACGTACAAAGCACTTCAGGAAGCAGGCTGCCATGCTACATTTGTAGCTAGCGCACACACCAGGGACCTTGCTCTTCTGAGGTTGAGTTGCTTACACCAGTATACAAGACGTGTTGCAAGACCTACAATAAATTTCCAACCGCTGAAAAAGCTTTTAATACTATATATATATATATCATCTTCCCATCGCACGGGCACCGCGCGCAGCACGGAACACACCCACGCCCACGCACGCGTAACAGCACGCCACAAACACGCAGGAAAACCCTGAATATGGCATACATA